CAGCCCCACATATCCTCTAGTTCTTCCATCTCCCTTGAGCTACAGATAATTTAGCCCCCACCACCTATTTTGCAAGCAAAGAATCTAAAGTTCAGTTTATAAACCATAAAACTGAGTGAAGCCTGATTCTTGAGCTCCTAACATGTGCTTTCCATACTGGGTCACTTTGTTGCTAGATGGCTTCTTGATAAGAGCTTTCCTGGCTTTTCCCCTAACTGGGAGGCTGTACTTTCTCAGTCATTGTTGCTAAGTTGGAAATGCTGGAGGGCCTTAGGGCTCCAGCCCCAGATGACCTCTCTGTCCATACACAGTAATCTTGTTCACATGGAAGTGCTGGGGATTGCCACATTTCTAGCTCTAGCCTCGGCCTCTTTCCTCAGTTCTAGCCTGGTGTAGCCATCTGCATACTCTTGCCATCTGCATACTCTTATATGCTCTCAGCTTTCTGAAAGGTGTCTGGTACTTCACCCATCCTAAACCAAACCTTCATTACACTCCCCAAACTCCGCCCTTCTGAGCCCTCTGTAGTATGGTAAATGGCATCCTTACTCACTAGTTTCTCAGGCCCAAATCCTTGATGTTCTACTTGATGCCTCCTTCTCTCAGACTAGATTCAAACTCCTGGCAAATATTTTTTGGCTCTACCTTCAAAATATATCTAGGGCTGGAGGTATAGTGGAGTGGTAGATCATATGCTTAGCACGTGCAAGGCCCTGGGTTTGATCCCTAGCACCAAAGGAAGTAAAAGAAAAATATGTAGAGAGAGAAAGAATATATTTTGGTATCCCACAGTTGTCAGCCTAGTTCAGACCACTCCTTCTAGCCTGTCCTTCTACAGAAAGCCGCTCACTGGTCTCTCTGCCTCTTACTCTCTATAGTTCTCCTCCCAGCAGCTAGAGTTCTGTTAAAAGATAAATCAGATTATTCTGCTTCTTTGCTAAAAATTTCTAATGCCTTCCTCTCACAATTAGAACAAAATCCAAACTCTACTTTATTTAGCCCTCAAGACCCTACCTGTCCTCACTCAATTATTCCACTGCATATAAGAGAAACAGATGTATAGTCCCCCAGACCTGCGAGAACTTTGCCCTTGTTTGGGGTCTTACGTTTGCCATGCCTTCTGCTCTTCCCAGCTCCTTCTCTCAGTTTGTTCCTCCCTCACCCACATCTCTGCTCAGATACCTGCTCCCCTCTAGGCCCTCTCTTGCCATCCTGTCTTATAGCCTTACCACTATAGGATATTAAGTTTGATTGGTTTATTGTGAGCCTGTCTCCCCTGTTAGCATATGAGCTCTGTGAATATGCGGTATTTGTTCACCACTGTGTTTCCAAAGTTGTGAACAGTGCCAGACACATGGTAAGTTCTGAATAAATATTTGTTGAATTAATGAATAATATCCTGGATATTAGGTCTGTTGCCTTCACTCATTCTCTTTCACTGGATACATAAATATACAAGGAACCCTGTGCTTTTTTTATTTGTTGGTTGTTTTAAGCCACTCCTTACATTACTAGCCAAAGATTATGTCAGCTTCGTAGCAATAGAAAATAAGGGAGGGGAGGGTCCTCATTACCTAGTGCACACCCCAGTGTTCTGATGAAATCAAGATGCAGAGATAACTTTAAATCCAGGACACCCTGGTTTGTTTTTCTTTTTTTCCCACAGTGTATGTGAACTGGGCAAGTCTGGTTTAAAAAAAAAATAATAGGGGCTGGGGTTGTAGCTCAATGGTATAGAACTTGCATAGCACACCGAGGCACTAGGTTCCATCCTCAACACCACACAAAAATAAATAAATAAAAGTATTTTTTAAAAGTGAATAACTTGGGCTGGAGACACACCTCGGTGGTAGCATGCTTGCCTAGTATTGTGAGACTTAGCACTACATAAAAATAAAGAAAATAAAGGTATTGTGTCCATCTATGACTAAGAATATTTTTTAAAAAGTGAATAACATTTAAAAATAATAATAATTATTAAAATCTGGCACATTGCCTCAGTTTCCCTAGTGTAATTGAAAATAAGATTGAGTTCCAGGAAAACAGACCAAAACAGACAAGCCTGCACGTTCCCATTCCTGCTTTCAGATGACATCTTATCCCCATTCATGAGTATGGTCACATGTATGGATGGCTGCCACATTCTTTTGTATTACAAATCAAGTCATCTAAGCCTCTGGGAACATGACCTACAGGTTGCTGTTGATTGTGGGGCTGCCCATTGGTCGGCCTGCATTTCTGGCTCCTCACCACTTCTTTTTTTTTAATTTATTTTTTAATGTATGTGTTTAAAGTGTAAAACATGTTGTTTTTATATGTAAGATCTGATAGGAGAAAAAGATATGTTAACACATGATAATTAAAATTCTAGCAATTGGCAAAGGTTGGCTTGGTGTTCTTAGAATCATCTAGTCTTAAGGCTCCCAAAGTTGATGATGTACCAGAATCACCTGGGCAGCAGTTTTTTTTTTTTTTTTAGAATTTTTTTTTAATATTTATTTTTTAGTTTTCGGCGGACACAACATCTTTGTTTATATGTGGTGCTGAGGATCGAACCCGGGCCACACGCATGCCAGGCGAGCGGGCTACCGCTTGAGCCAGATCCCCAGCCCTGGGCAGTGGGGTTTTGTTGTTGTGTTGTTGTTTTGTTTTTGGTACCAAGGATTGAACCCAGGTATGCTTAATCACTGAGCCATGTCCTTAGGCCCTTTTTATTTTTATTTTGAGACAGGGTCTCACTGAGTTGCTTAGCACCTCACTAAGTTGCTGAAGCTGGCTTTGAACTCTGAATTCTCCTGCTTCAGCCTCCTCAGCCTCTAGAATTACAGGCATGCACCACCATGCCCAGCCAGGCAGTATTTTAGTAATGCAGGTTTTCAGATTCTACTCTAGCCCTGAGGTTGGAATAGGACTCTGGTTTGGTCCATACCATACATATTCATATTGTTTCTCTCTACTTTTCTCACCTCTCTGTCAGATCAAATGCAGTTGCCCCATGGTATCCATAGGGTATTTTTTCCAGAACCCTAAGGATACCAAAATCTGCTGATACTCAAGTCCCTCATATAAAATGTCATATAACATGCATGTAACCTGTACATATCTTCCCATATACCTTAAATCATGTTGAGATTATTTTTATTTTTATTTTATTTTATTTTTTGAATTTTTAATATTTATATTTTAGTTTTCGGCTGACACAACATCTTTGTTTGTATGTGGTGCTGAGGATCGAACCCGGGCCGCACGCATGCCAGGCGAGCACGCTACCACTTGAGCCACATCCCCAGCCCTTGAGATTATTTTTATTACCTAGTACAATATAAATGCTATATAAATAGTTGTTATACTGTACTTCTTAGGAAATAATGACAAGGAAAAAAAAGGTCTGCACATGTTCAGTTGCAGATGCAATGTTTTCTCTGAATATTTTGGTAGGTTGACTTGGTAGATGCAGAACCTTTGGATATTCAGGGCTGATCTTCTACTCTTTTTTTTTTAATATTTATTTTTTAATTTTTGGCGGATTCAACATCTTTGTTTGTATGTGGTGCTGAGGATCGAACCCAGGCCGCACGCATGCCAGACCAGTGCGCTACCGCTTGAGCCACATCCCCAGCCCCTACTCTTTGAAAAAAAAAAAAAAATTTGTTGTAAATGGACACAATACCTTTATTTTTTTATTTATTTTTTATGTGGTGCTGGAGATAGAACCCAGGGCCTCACACGTGCTAGGCGCTTGCCTCTCTACCTCTGAGCCACAACCCCTGCCCCTGATCTTATATTCCTAGTGATAATAAGTGCTCTAAACAAAGGGCAGGAAAAGATCAGTGGAGATGATGGAAGGGCTTTCTGAGGAGGTGACATTTAGTCTGCAACAGGAAGTATTAGAGGAAGAACATTTCAGGCAGGAAATAGCGTGGTGTGTTCACAGAATTAAAAGCAGACCAGTGTGGCTGGAGCATGGCCAGGGACTAAGGGAAACCTCGGTGCCAGGGGAAGAAGGGGCTGGGGCCACATCACACAGGCCCTGCAGACACCGAGAAGAGTTGGGGTTTGTTCCAAGGGCTTTTGTTCCCCTGATATATTTGAGTTCTGTCTGGAGAATAGAATCTAGAAGAACAAAAGGGGGAAATTGTGAGGCCTAGACAGTTCTGTGGCAAGTGGGACTAAAATAGTGGCACTGAAGGTAGAGGGGAGGCGACAGTTTCAAGGTACGAGGACTTGCAGGTGAATGGGGAGTGTGGGGAGGGAGAGGATGGAGAGTAGGCAGACTCAAGAGGGTTCTGCTAGAGGTAGTGTAGGGTGAGTATCCACTTGCCTCCTTTGTAAATGGAGTCACTGAAGGGTCCCTTTCTACTGGGCTGGTGGTGAGTCTTCATCTGTAAAGCTCCTAGAATGGAGCTTGGCACACAGTAAAGCACTGTGTAAATATCAGAGCCGATGTGGATGACAGTGATTAGTCCAAAGTTTCACAGCTAGTCAGCAAGTCCCCAAGAAGAAGCCAAAGCTGAGCCTCTTGGTTAGCATTTGCTGTGCTGTGCTGAGCTGCCTCCTTCAGTTACCTTTGAACTTAACTATGCACACTCTGTGGAGGCCTGGCTGTCATGGTACACGACGAGTCCTACTTAGTGTAACCTCTGAGTGTTGTACCAAACTTGATTAAATTGCTGATGTTTTCCATGTAGCCTAGATTCCAGATTCTTTTGGCTATCCATAAAATTCTGCCATTCCAGACAAAACACAGGTCCTGCATGGTGGGAGGAAGGGGGAACTGAAGGGGAGATGTGTGGATAGTTTTTAAATATTAAAAGAAATACATTCCAGGGGCTGGGGTTGTGGCTCAGCAGTAGAGTGCTTGCTTAGCACGTGCAAGGTGCTGGGTTTGATCCTCAGCACCACATAAAAAAATGTAAATAAAATAAAGGTATTTTGTTCAACTACAACTAAAAAAAATTTTTTTTAAAAAAGGAAATACATTCCATAATATCAGTGTGCTCATGTCGTCCACACGCTGCATAGACATGGGTAGGCATGTACCCTCACCAACAGGAGGCATTGTTCAGAGTCCTTAGGATCGGAAGTTACAGGTCACTGCATGCCAGAAGAGGGAAAGAAGGAAAGCTAAGAATGCTAGGGTAACTCCCCCAGACTGTCAGGTTTCTAGTGATACATCTTGGAGAAGTGTTTGAAGTGCTTCTCTTTGTCAGTTTCAACTAAGTTAATTTTAAAAAATCGCTCTTTGTACTGTGCCTTTCTCATGAACCTCTGTGAGTTTAATGCATACAATATGTAGGTGGAAGCCTGTCAGCCTCAGTTCCCATCCCCCCAGAGTCTGACAAGCAGATTTTAGAAGCACATGATTGCACCTGCAAGGATTTGCTACGTTATGAAATGGGGCCTGAGACTACTTTCTGTGCATCCTATAGGAAAGACTTTCAGAAGGAGGTGAGAGAAGATGCCCCTCTGGTCTTTCCTTGCTCGGGCCCACTGCCTGTTTTGTTGCACCTATCTCCAGACAGCATGGGGAGGACTGTTCCTCATTATCAGGGAATGTGAGTCAGTCCCAGATTTGTGTGATTGGGATTCCAAAGCATTGCTGTATCCGATGGTCTTATTAAATCCAAGTGTCAGTGCAGCCTTTTAGACTGTAGGGGAGAAGAGCTCAGTTACAGCTGGTGACCTGGTTCTAGTTACCACACAGAGACATTGGCGAGAGCAATGACCCCCTCCGAGTACCCAGAATTCTACAGGCATGGCTGTTACCAACTGTTCCCAGATTTGGGGGTTTCCTGGTTCACTTTATAGGCTTCAGTACATCTCAGCTTCCTGTTTATATCCTAGATAGGATCTGTATACTTTAGGGGAAAATGTCCTAGTGTCCCAACAAGCTAGTGCCAAGATTAGCCTAGCATTTCCAGGGACCTTCTTTCAGATTTACTCGGCTCTAGCACTGTTAACTGTGGAGTGTTCAGGATCTAACAAAGCACTCTTCATTTCCAGTTTGGTCCAAACAAAACAGATAAAAAACATCAACCAGAGAGGGAGTAGACTATAAATGTTGCCAGGAAATTAGTCTGCTCTGTCTTTTCTTTCTCTAGAGTGTTTCACAGCCAATGGTGCCGATTATAGGGGAACACAGAACTGGACAGCACTGCAAGGTGGCAAGCCGTGTCTGTTCTGGAACGAGACTTTCCAGCACCCGTACAACACTCTGAAATACCCCAATGGGGAGGGCGGCCTGGGCGAGCATAACTACTGCAGGTAAGAAGGGGCCACGGGACTGTAGAGATAAGTCTTTTATCTCTTGTTCTAACCCTGCTCATGCTAAGGAAAGTGTTCTTGCTTCCTTTGAGCCAACTCAGAAAACCTTTCTTGTCACGATCTTCCCACACCATAGACAGACAGACAGACAGACACACGCACCTGCACACACACACATATACACACACACAAATAATCTGTGACTATTTTCAACCTAATTGCTTTGATATTTACTGGCTTTTAGAGCACTGCTGTCCTGTCTGATCACTAACCTGTCAACTTGTCACTTTGGGAGGGTTTTCCTAGTTGGCTACCAGTGGACAATTCACAGACAGCAAAGCTTCTGAGGCTGGTGAGAATGTACTATTCAGACTGTCTAGGACCCGAATCTCCCTCTGCTTCTTAGCAGGAGAAGCCGACTGCCAGCCAGACAAGGATAACTTGGGAGCAGCTGTATCCATCGGATTTGTGCTCTTTATTCCTTTTCAGTAGACTAAGGTGTTTCTTTACTTTTCATCTCCTGTCTGACTTTAGCAAGGGTCATGTGGCGTCATCTCCCCCCTACACACACACCTGCAGATGGGGTTTGGCTGTGTTGCCGAGGCTGGTTTCTACCTCAGCCTCCCCCTCCCAAGTAGCGGGGCTATGGGTGTGTGCCACCATGCCTGGCTAGCAAGAGCTCTGGATTTCACATCCATTGTACTTCAGATGTGTATTCATGATCTCCTGGGGAGATGATCCTTGGCTTTGATCAGGTTCTCCAAGCTATCTGCGATGAAAATAAGATAAGAATCACTGTTATGTAGGGACCAGAGCAAAGATTCTTAACACCTTTGGTCGTATCTTTTAGCTACTTACCCCCAAGATCCTGATTACATGACTCATGGTTCAGCAATGTGTTGAATTTAATCATTATTAGGACAGGTGCAAAGGCTGCCTCTTGAGCCATGAGGCCAGGGGAAAATGATTGCTGAGCTACACTCTGTGTCCCGGGTTCTATAAGTATGTTGGCCTCTCAATCATATGGCCCTGTTGACCCAGCTGAACCAATACCTGTGTTCCTGCATTGCAGGGGCCACGCTGTTTACCTCTGCCCTCATGTGCCTTTGCTGACACTCTAGGGCCCTTGTGGTTGCCTGGCGTCCCCAGGCCTGCGGTCCATGTTTTCTTCATATTGCCCCTCAGCTCTTGCCATCACTTCTGTCTTAGCTTATGTCCAATGACCATTCCCCCATAGTTGCTGCTGCTTTATTTTTTCATTTGTTACTATGGAATTATTAAAATTTGTTCCAAAATCACAGATATCTGTCGCTTAGATAAAGTCTCCCATTTTACCTCTTTCCTTGAAACCCTCCCCACCCAGTCCTACTATTGTACATGTGCTACCTCCCAATTTGCTATCTTTGTATTTCATAGTTAAAGTTACATATGTTCACTGAACAATTGTTTCATTTTATTTTCAAAGTTGTACATATTTAATTTCTTGCATAAATAAAAAAAATTAGTCACTCTCTATTTCTGGCATATTACCTTCCCCTAATTTGCTATTCATAGGAATAGTTGATTTGGGCTGGGAAGGATGTTTAGGCAGAGAAACAAGTATTTATTATTTATGTTTACATAGTTACTTATCTCGTTGAACAGCGGATCTCCTTTCCTTTTTCTTGTTTGTTTTGTGTTGTATTTTTGGTGATGAAGTCTTGCTAACCCTGACCCCAACCCTTAGTGTCCCAAGTGTAGCTGAGATCATGGACAGACGCACTGTGCCTAGTTGCTGCTGCAATAGTTTCTCCTCCTTCTAGTGAGCTGGAGATTGAACCCAGGGCTTCTAACATGGCAGGGCTTTACCACTGAGATATACTCCCAAACCTCTAAAGTGTCTCTTAGTAGTAGACTTTTGGTTTATTCTACTACTCTCTTGCTTTCTGTCAAGCAGGTCTTCTCAGAAGAGCTCCTGTTTTTGTTTTTTATTTTGGGGTACTGGAGATTTAACCCAGAGGCCCTTAACCACTGTGCCCCAGCCCCAGCCCCAGCCCTAGCCCTTTTTATTTTGAGACAGGCTCTTACTCAGTTGCTTAGAGCCTTGCCAAGTTGCTGAGTCTGGCCTTGACTTGCAATCCTCCTGTCCTAGCCTCCCAAACTGCTGTGATTACAGGCATCTGCCACCACACCCGGCAGAGCTCCTGTTTTTAAATTTGACTTTCAGTTAAATTTTAAATTTCCAATGAGACTTAATTTATAATTAAATAAATTTATAGTTTATTTATATGAAAAAGTTTTGTGTTTTTTTTCTCCTGGCAGATTAGTACCCATCTCTACTCACAGCCTTCCAGAAACACACAAGTAAATATCCATTAAGAGATCAGTGAGGGCCAGGAGCACCTTTCTCCTGAGCCCCAGCCAGCTGCAACCCTCTCCTTTGATTTGATGGAATGTACCAGACCTGAATTACCAGTTTATACTTCAAAAAAGGGAGGCTGAAATTGTTGATTATTATCCCATCAGAGAGTCCAGGCCTTTTGTTTCAGCACTTACAGTGAAGTAAGGATGAATTTGCTTGTTCTTTATTTAAGCTATTCTGATGCCTTTCAGAGTGGCTTTGACATTGATAATAAACAGTTGTTTTCTAAGGGCTTTACCCAATACTACATCAAAGCTGAACACTGAATGGAGGGAGGAAAATGACAGTGAAATACTGTTTAAAGAAGGGCTTTGTACAAGTTCTCCTACTTTGATTTCTCAGCTGTCACCCGACACCATGTTTGTCTTGTGTGACTTTTCAGACCCATCGCATCTGAGATGTCTGAGTTGGCAAGTGATGGGAATGTTCTTCTCTGGGCTGGGCTGGAGATATTTGGATTAGAGGGAAAGGCAGAGACTGGGAAGAGCAGAGTTGGGGCTGGCACCTGCCTTTGGGCACAAGAAATAAAGGGACCCTTTGTGCCTCAGGGAAGCTTATCTTTTGGACCATACAATAGGCTTATCCCGCTCAAGCTTGATAGGGGTTGCTCCAAAGCTCCCAGCAGTGGGGTCTTTATGCCCATTTCCGGCCTAACTGGAGCGTTAGGTTTCCAGTATCCTGAATCTAAATAAAAGAACCTTGGGAAGTGGTGAAGAGAGGCGAGGCTTCTCTGTGTGTCCAGTAGTCCTTGCCATTATTTGATCCACTTCAGCGGCATCACATGATGTCTCTGAATTGAAAAGATCCTAAAGGGCATTTATTCCAAGCTGTTCTTATTTAGAAATGAGAATAAATAAATCTTTAAAAAATATTGCTATATCGTAAGTTTGGGCTAGGATGACAAGATCACAGGTTCTAACTGAAACTTGGCACTGTTTTCTTCAGAATTTCTAAGTAGTCAGTGTTTGGGGTAAGAAATAGGACCTATTTCTGTCAAATGTGAGATGACCAGCTTGTTCCTAGTGGGAACTTGCCAGTGGGGTCTATATTTTGTGAATTCTTATTTTACCTTTTAAATATTATACTATTGGAGCCAGGCATGGTGGTGTACAACTGTAATCCAAGCAATTCGGGAGGCTGAGGCAGGAGGATCACAAGTTCAAGGCCACCCTAAGCAACTTAGTGGGACCCTATCTCAAAATAAAAACTAAAAAGGACTGGGGGACTGGGGCTGGGGCTCAGCGGTAGAGCACTTGCCTAGCACGTACGAGGCACTGGGTTCGATCCTCAGCACCACATAAAAATAAATAAATAAATAAATAGATAAATAAAGTTATTAAATAAATAAGTAAAATAAAGGTATTTATTTAAAAAGAAAAAAAAAAAAGGACTAAGAATATAGCTCAGTGTAAAGTACCCTGGGTTAATCCTCAGTACAAAACAAAAACAAAAAAAAACACCTCCAAATGCCAAAGTGCCATTCTGTGTCAGTTCACATCCCATTAGCTTTGTGTTCACCCAGCTGTTGAACCTCCACCTTCTGTGTTCCCAGTGTCTGGCACAGTTGGTTTAGTGATCAGTTGTCCTCATTATACCTTGGTGAATTTTTTGGAGCTTTTCTCACTTCTTCCCAGCCTCAAGAACATGTCAGAGTGGATAGGCTTCTCCTTGTAGTATTAACCTGTTTTTCCTTCTTAATAAGAGAGGGAGGACATTGAGATATATGCCAATTATTAGAAATAACCAGGACCCAAAGCAATTCTTTCTCTGTAAAATAGAAAAGCAATGAGCCAGTTAACTTAAAACATCAGCAATGTTATCAATTGTATCCTTTTCCCCAATAGAAACCCGGATGGAGATGTGAGCCCCTGGTGCTATGTGGCAGAGCATGAGGACGGTGTCTACTGGAAGTACTGCGAGATTCCTACGTGCCAGAGTAAGACTAATATCCCACTGATGATGTACAGGACCTGTGCACAAAGTGCAGAGTGGAAGGTCACGGCCAAAGGACAGGTAGTTCAGGTTGGCGGATTTCCTGAAGTAGGTGCAAGGAGAAGCCATCCTGGGCTGAGGAGTTTTATTTTTTGAGGCTTTTCAGAAATAAGGATGCCCATTTCCTCAGCACCCTATTCCCTGGGTTCCTGGGATGGGTAAGCCTAGTGAGAATTCTTAGTTAATTTCCTCATGTTAATTATTTTATAGTTAAAGAGGGCAATAGCTCAATATCAGGCTGGTGTGGGGGAAATTTGCACTTTTTGTAATGAATTTGGGGAATAAATTTTTTTGGAATGAACCTTCTTAAACATTTTGAAGCTACATTATGAAAACTTGTTATTATTTGGTTTTGAAAAGATCCCCTGAAAAATGATACTTAGTAAATAACTTGTTAAATACTATACAATGCCCATACTTTACCCACATTAGGGTAAAGTATTCTGTTGATTTTTATGATAATAATTCTTAATGACTTTCTTTAGTCTTTTTAAGAAAGACCTGTTTTATAACTGTTTCATTCATTTATTCCTGTATTCAGTGTTATTATATGCAGGGTACCAAGGCAAAAGGACACTTAGACCTTTTAGAGAGTATATGGTATAGAAGAATCTTAAAAAGAAACAACATCTGGGCTGGGGTTGCGGCTCAGTGGTAGAGTGGGCTTTTGCCCTTTTGCACTGGGTTCAATCCTCTGCACCACATAAAAATAAATAAATAAAATAAAGTCATTGTGTCCATCTACACCTAAAAAAAATATTTAAAAAGAAACAACATCATCATCATTATCATTATCATTACTTGGTATGGTACCAGGGATTGAACCCAGTTCATACCTAACAAATCTAAGTCACATCCTCAGTCTGTTTTATTTTAGTTTCGAGACAGTGTTTCTCTAGGTTGCTCAGCTCCTCACTAACTGCAAAGGTTGGCTTTGAACTTGTGATCTGCCTGCCTCGGCCTCCTGAGCCACTGGGATTACAAGCATGTGCCACCCTGCCCAGCAAAATAATCTTTAAAACAATGTAGAAACAAAACAAAAGAAAAACAAGATAGAAAATATTGTAGAAAGATGTTTCAGAAGGTTTAAAGTATGGAAACGAACATGAATCTGGTGCTACAGTTATCCCTCAGTCTCTGAGAAGGACTGGTCCTAGGAGCCCCAACAGGTACCAAAATCCATGGACACTCAAGTTCCTTATATAAGATGTATAGTATTTGCATATCATCTATATACATTCTCCTGTATGCTTTTAAATTATCTCTAGATTACTTATAATACCTGATACAATGTAAATGTTGTATAGGTAGTTGTTATATTGTATTGTTTAGGGAATAATGACAAGAAAATAAATGTACATATTCACTGTGGATGCAGTTTTTTTTTCCCCAAAATGTTTTTCATCCATGGTTGGTTGAATCCATGAATGTGGGACCCTCAGGTATAGAACCTGAGGATACAGAGGGACAACTATATAAAAAATTTAATAATGTAATATTTAGAATATATACAATTTTTTGATATTTTGTGTGTGTTTGGCTCTAGGGGTGGAACACACTTCACTGTGCTGTACCTCCAGCCCTAGAATATATTTTTAAACAGGGAATTTAGGAACAGGGTTGTGAGCTTCCTAAAGCTGAAGAAAAAGACAGTTCATTCCTAACAAGTCTGCGAGCTTATTTTTTCCTTGTTGTTTCATATTTTTCTTTGCCCTGCAGCTCTCTCACTGCTCAGATCAAGAGGCATGTGCACATAGAGTGACAGGGCAGTTTGCAGGGGACCTGGGCCCTGGGCCCCTTCTCCCTCAGGCCCCGAGCAGCAGTCTGCATTCTCATGCTTCAAGGAAAAAGAAAGGGCTGCTGAAGCTGCTGCAGGCCAGCTCTTGCCTTCCCTAACTGGAATGCCACTACTGCCTGGCCCGAGGCCCCACTTCACCATCTTCCAACTTGAGTGTGCCTTAATTCAGTCCCCAAATTGAGAAAACTGTAAAGACCAGAAGAGTGGGCTTTTGCCCAGTCTGCTTAATCAAATTTCTAAAATGAAAAAACATCTCATTCCATCTGGCTCTAGTTGTATAAAGAAGAAAGGGGCAGGGGAGAGGAAAGTAGATTTTCCTCGGTCCATTTGTTCTACACAAAGATGGTCTTTTACTACCAGCCTGTGCCATTCTCTCAGGAATGACGAAGAGGGGATTTCAATCTGGGCACTTTTATGTGGAAAGATAATCTTTAACTCACATTTATAAAATATAATTTGGGCCAATAGGAGCTGATTCATGTGGTCATTGAAACTAGGTTCCAAAAGAGTAAATTATAGCAAAATAATACAAACCACCTAGCATATCTCTAATTTGTAATATTTGCCAAATATTCCTTACTGACCCAAAGAAAAAAATTAAATATTTTTTTTCCATTTTTTTATTGCACTTTGATAGCCTTCTCAAATGCTCTAGGTAAAGAGACTTGTAAAAGTTGGGAATAAGAATAGCACCTCATTGTGGGGTTGGAGGGTAAGTGGTGTCTAGCTTTGGTTCTCTGGAAAACCCTTTGGTTCACCTTGTGGTCACAAGGGCGCTCCCCATTAAGCCGAACCTCAGACCTGGAATCTGGCAGAATATTGTGCTTCCAGTGTGTCTGCTTAACACAGATGAGGAAAACTTCTAGTGCTCTCTGCAGCAAGAGACCTTGGTAATAGCCTGGTGGATTTAACAGAGATGCAGTTTGCCTCTTTTAGGCCAGAGTTGCCCTATTTCTGGATGTGGAGTCATACTTTTCATGATTAATACTAACCCTCTGTGTAAAGCCCACTGTTCATGATTAGCACTGAACTTGTCATACAGGAAAAGGCCTGTGACATGATCAGGTTCCTGGAAAGTTCATATCTGAATATAACAGGCCCAGCAGGAGCCAAGGGGAATGAATGTTTAGGGACAAAGCAGAATCGGGTTGAATGGTGGGCCATTGTGTGGAGACCGGAATCTCTGCCCCTTGGCGTCTTACAAGAAGGCCTACAACAAGCAGGAGGCAGCGATGAAGTACGAAGTACGGTTCAAAAGGGGCAAAGAGAAGTTTGAATGGTGCTCTCGACCTACGGAGCATGGATCAGAACTTACTGTTAAAAGGAAAATAACTCTGAGGTAATTGGATTTGGCCCTCAAATTGTTTCTGCCAGTATGTTTCTTAGAAAACTCAGTTCTTATTAGAGCCAGGAAAAATAGATTTTAAAAGCAAATTCCAACATCATCGAGTTTAACATCCCTCTAGATCCCATCCTCTAGATTTCATGATCCTGTTGGGTTGTTTTTTTTTTTTTTTAATCTTTATTTTGTATATTTATTTTTATGTGGTGCTGAGAATTGAACTCAGTGCCTCACATGTGCAAGGCAGGTGCTCTGCCACTGAGCTACAGCCCCAGCCCTGGTTTGGTTTTTGAGGGGGAGGCCTAAAATCCTTTCCATATTTCTCTTTTATTATATAATCATCCTCACCATTGTAATTCCTTTCATTTCATTTCTTTTGAGGGACATTTTGTGTGGACCTTATATGCCTTTGCTTTATTCTGTTTTACCTGTGGGTTCTTCATAAAAGTTTTGTGATGATTTTAAAAAGTGAATTGCATAATTGTGAGTGGGGGAATGGTCTATAAATAACATTTAAAGGCAAATATTGTTTTCTTCACATAGCTGATTTGATCCTAAGGACACTGGCATGAGAAATTTACCTTCTCTTTTTTTTTTAGGTTTATAATATTTCTAAGTAATTTTATTTAAAGGGGCAAACTAGAGGGCTAAGTGATTGCTTTTGGAGTGTTGAGACCATAGGTGATCAGTTTTCTCCCTCCTAGTATGCTGTGCTAGGGTATAAGTATGTCAGGAGGTATTAATCCCATCATCAGACTATGGGGTGTCCAAAGTCCTGGGATCATTTACCATTGCCAGCAAGCAGACTTGACCAGGAATCTTCAAAAGGAAATGGCATGTATGCAGAGTGGGGATTGATGGTCCATTCCTGTTCAACTTCTGACAAATTTGGAGGTCTAGTCCTTGATCGCTTTCCCCTGTTGCTTTAGGGCTGCATAAATCTTGCTTGGTCGACAGTATGTAAGACCATATTAGTAGACTGAAAAATAGGAGGATGAAGCAGGGGAGGCTTTTGGAAGCAGCATCAGTATTTCTCAAAAGTCAGAATGATTTCCTCACAAGGTCCTTATGATGCTGAAGCATCTCCACAAGTAAGGGTGGCCCCTGAGGTGAGCGCGGTTCCATGGCTGGAAGTCCCCCCTACCTTCTCATTTTTTAAAGCTATTTTTTGTTTGCTAAAAAACATTCACCTAGGGCTGGCGTTGTGGCTCAGTGGTGGAGTGCTTCCCTGGCACGGGTGAGGCACTGGGTTTGATCTGCAGCACCACATAAAAAAATGAATGTATGAGGGACTGGGGTTGTGGATCCTCAGTAGAATGCTCACCTCGTACATGCAAGGCCCTGGATTCGATCCTCAGCACCACATAAAAATAAATAAATAAAGGTATTGTGTCCAACTACAACTAAAAATAAATATTTTAAAAAATAAATAAATGAATGAAATAAAGATATTTTGTTCATCTACAACTAAAAAAAAATTTTTAAAAAAAGAAATTCAGCTATAAAAAATTCTTTTTTCTTCTCTCTCTGTCTCTTTTTTTTTTTTTTTTTTTAGTACCAGGGATTGAATTCCAGGACATTAACCACTGAGTCACATCCCCAACCCTGTTTTTGTATTTTATTTAGAGACAGGGTCTCATTGAGCTCCTTAGGGCCTTGCTAAAATGCTGAGGTTGGCTTTGAACTTGCAATCCTCCTGCCTAAGCCTTCCAAGCCACTGGGATTATAGGTGTGCACCACTGTGCCTGGCAAAATTCATTTTTGAGGTACAGACATTTGACTATAGACTGACTAAAATTTTAAA